ATAAATAGGAAACTGTTATGTTACGGAGGTAAAGGTCAAAATCATCTAATTTAACTGATGTTTACATTGATAGTTTGCATTACTTTACCATTTCCACTTATGATGAATTTGCTTTTATTTTAAATGTTGGTTCATCCTAGTTTTGTTATACCCTACACCCACTTGTGGTAAAGGATTTATGCGATATGTTGGTGCGGGCAAATGTAACGCGCATAATAAGATAGACGTACCTTTTATTATACCGATCGATTTACAGTCATTTTCTGAATCGATCTAACCCTGTATATCTGTTTACCTGTTCGTCGGATGTCTATCCCTGTAAATTTGTCTTATTTATTTCCATCAATTCATCCTCGAGCCAAACAATAAATTGTACATACTTTGCGAAAGCGCGTGGGTGAAATAACAATGAAAGACAGGTTAACGATTTTGCTGGGCAAGCAAGGCTTATGCGGATATCAAGTAAAGCATTCAATATATGAGATATTTTTATTTATAATGTAAATCTCTCTCATAAGGAAAGTCATTTTGCATATTTAAATACAAAAATTTTAAATTAAAGTTCTTTAAAATTGCATACATGCGCAAACACACCATACAACATATATAATATATATATATATATATATATATATATACACGGTAATGGCTATTTTTCATTGTTTGTTATTTTTCTTCAACGTTATCTGTGACTCATATACTGGTTTATTAAAGATGGTAATGGCTGGTAATCGAGTTAACGCGTTATCCCAAATTTCTTTCCTTATTAAGATCATCAATGCAGAAAATAAGTAATTTGAAGACATTTCTTGTTTAAACGTGCAATAAATATTGCGGTTTCATCGTATCTTCTTCCTAGATAAAGGTTTCTTCATTAAGCTCGTGAATTCAAAATGCAAAGCAAATTAAACTTATAAACATATCTATCAACGGTCAATATCGTCAAGTTATTTCAAATCAAGTTTTCCTATAAGTGAAATCGATTTTTTATTGCAGTTAAATTTTTTTCAAATCGCCTGAAATGCTTGAATATGTCGGTACATGATGAGAATCACTTTTGAGAGTTGCATGTAAAAACTGTTTTTCACCCTGTTGCCCTTTCAACTTCATTTTATAGGAACCGTGAAAGGTTCTGAAGGATCTCATCTTAAGAAATGGGGAAGGTGGAATAAAAAAAAAACGAAATTGGCCTAAGTGACCGAGTAGGCAAAGGATCTCGCCCAACAAGTCAATGGTCGTGGGTTCAAATCTCAAGTGCGTAGAGTTTACAGTCAAGGCAATAACCTTAGATGCTTCTTTGCTTTCGATTGCAACGTTTTGCAAACCTGTGCCATATACATATATATGTCCACTGTTTTAACCAATCGCCGTTTCAATAAGCATTAGTGCTCCAATAAATCAGTTGAGTTCATTACGACGTATACTAATTATTAACTAAAGCCTTTTCGACTCTCAGTAATTTTTGTAAAATTTTGTTCAGTACCAACAGGCCAGGCCGCAAGCGCCCAATGTCTATTGGTTAGGAGGAAAGTTTAAGCAAAGACGTAGAACCGCAGACACACGGAAACCTAGATCGCATAATAATAGGTGAAATCAACGATTTGCTCTTGTACGCAAAAATGTTGGCAAACCAGGCAATCGTTCCTGAAAACTTTATGCAAAGTCTAAAACCCAACTGACATAAATGCTTATTTTACAAGATCATCTACAGCTATGCTCGACGGAGGTTGTATGCTTTCAGATGTAAATTCTATACGATAAGGAAGCCAAGTTTAAGGATTGATTTTAGAAAAATTTCAACAACTTCATAGGAACGTAAGTTTAGTTCGAAAGCAACAGAAATAAATGTAAGGGCAAGAGGACTTTTATATTTTCTTCTTCACTTCACATCCGGTTTACGGTTTTGCAAATTTTTGATCAAAATTAATCGCTTTTTGATGAACATTAACAGCAGACAGAGAATTGCGAACAGACAAACTAATGCGTAAGGCAAGCGGAGTAAGGAATAGTGTATCTATATGTACTTTCATTGCAATGTTGCAATTGTTGCCCAGCACGTGATCTGTTTTTTGGATCGGTAGTATAATAAAGTCATTATCGGCCGTAAGTGGCCCGTACGCCAAAACTTTCAGATCATTGCTGTATATAATGTTGTGAGCAAATTAGATTAGCTGTCCTTAGCTGGTGTCAAGGCAGACTCATTTAGAACAATAATCAATTTAAAAGATTGCATTTACTCCACTTACATGGATGAGCTCCTCAATTAAAGTAAAACTTGATTTAAGCATTCGAAATTGTGGTGCGTTCATAGAAGCATCTAAAGCATTCTTTCAATTTCGATTCAAGTAAAAAGAAGCTTAAAATATGCGAATTGATTTGTGTTTTTTTTAAAAGTTCATTATTACATTGCTTTAGTGTATAATACGTCGTACGTAATGAAGATTTATAAAAAAACTTATTAGCGTATAATTATAATAATTTATTATAATTAGATATTTAATTAAGAAAATGCGAGTTTATTAATTAGATTAATAGCAAAACTTATTTATGTTTAAAGTTTTTTATATCGATCACTACCAGTGATCGTAAGTGTACTAAATACACCCTGTCATTTGTTGTTCTTCTCGTAGCATATGGTGGGCATTGCATATACTTTCACGCTTGATTTGTTTTGACAACTGTGTGGCATTTGTGGAAAATCTAGCGAAAATGCAGATATCGCCTATAAATGTTCAAAAGAATTTGAAAGTGACCTAAATTTTTCAAAGGATATGCGTACAACGCCCATCCGCCTATACGACAAAATCGTGTTAGCTTCAAACTGACTTAAATAATTTGGTTACATAATGCTTCTTAAATTTTATGAAATTAAATCTAAAAAAATGCAAGAAGCTTTCTTTCTTAAGAATGAAGTCATTCAGTACTGAGTATTTCATTGACTCACTCATAGGCTGGAAAGCGTTGACTTGTTCATCGATTAAAGGGGTTCTATTTGACCAAAGATAAGATTTTATTCTGCATATTGAGCTCTTTGTACGTAAAGCTATGTCCACGCTTGGTTAAGATTAAGAGGTGGTCCAAAGAGCTGAAGGATCCTCGCATTACGAAAAAGCTATACATGTGCTTAGTTAAATCAATACTTGAATACGCCTCGGTTGTGTGGACTCCCATCTATATGTGTTATATAGATTCAATTGAAGCAGTTCTTGATGTTTGCTTTTAGATTGACCTTGATTTGGAACCCGCTTGTCTCTTTGCCTTCTTATGAAGATAGGTTGCTTCTGTTATGGTTACCGTCACTTCAGAAAAGTAGGGTCATTCTTGGTATGTCCTACTTAATCAAGTTAAGTAATGGTACTATCGATTCGTCCACATTGCAAGGTGAGTTAAGGTTTAACCGCTTCTCCACGTACTTCATATTCATTAAGCCGAGTCAATCTGAATGTAATTATGACCGCTTTAACCCGTTTAGAGTTGTTTGCAGAAACCTAAATAATGTCTATCACTAAATCTTGATATCGGATTCTTTAAAGTCTATCGAAACAACTTTGCTTAATACGCGCGATTTGCCTAAGTCGTATTTAAATTAACTTTTAATCTTAATATCTCGTTATGATGGGAAAATTAATTTGGTTACCAAGCTTTTGCATGTTTGCGACGGCTTAGGGATTCACTTGCAATTTGGTTCTGTATTGGTTGTGTGGGTGTGCCTCTGTGCTAGTTGAACACATGTTGTTTTTTTTCTTCTTATTTCTCCTTATATATCTTGTAGTAGGTTGAAATATTACTTAGTATAAGATTTACTTCTAAGGGTCAATTGAATTCGACTGTTAACTTATTTTAGCTGAATTTCATGCGTAAGTTAGTAAAATGAAAAAAAAAAATAAAATCGAAATATGAAATTATTTTTCAATGAAAAGAATATTATACTAGTACGGTTAAAGTGCACAACTATCGTTCCAATGTAAAATGAAAATCCATAAAAACGGGGAAATTGTAGGAATTGTCCGAGATTGGGAAAAAATATCGAGAACATTAGGCATTGCAAATGAAAAAAAAAAAAGTGAACAAAAACATTTACCAGAAGGAATGCTTAAGCACTTAAAGAAATTACATAGATATAGTATGATGAGGTTTTGGAGATTTAAAGCAAAAAAATACAAAAAAAAAAAAGTCTTACTCTTACTACTACTGCTACTACTACTACTACTACTTAACTTATCAGCTATAGAATTTATAGGATTTTAAATTTGGCGCTAAAAAGTATTATTGAAAAGTTGAATATGTGAGTGAATGATTTCGATCAATCTAGTGATCAGTTGGCAATCGGTTGAAGGCGATTAAAATTTTTGTAAAAGAAATTTTTGAAAAAAATTTTGAAGAAATTTCATACGATAGAGTAAATGAATGATTAAATTAATTAAGTAGCTTATGATGATGATTTGCTAAATCGAAAATATGACAAATTTATACAAAATATGTCTAATTTGTTATCGTTCAAGCGCGACTACATCTGCACAATAAACAATATATCACGACAACAACAACAACAGCAGCAACAACAAATACAAATTGAAACAAATGATATAACCGGCATAATAACAGTTTTACGTCTAACTGCGTATAATCATTTGCAATGCGACGACCTGCTGTGAGGAGATGGAACGCGTAATTGTTTTTGTTTTTTTTTTTTTTTTTTTTTTTTTTTGCTTTTTTATGATTTATAGAAATTTTGTATTTAATGCAAGCTTCCGTTTCCGTTGATATTGAAATTAAAGCAAAACAAAAACAAAAAAAATTAATAAAAACAATTACGGTATTTAGTAGAAGATCATTTTAACGAGCTGCTATAAGATGGATAAAGTACAAAGCCAGACACACACACACACACACACATACACACACAGCTACACACACACATACACAAAACAAAAAAAATAGAAAGAAAAAAAAAACAAAATTTTGGAATTTCTAGTAAACTAAATTAGACTTAAACTTACAGTATTAAATGCTGTTTATTGAAACCGGTTTTAGTTAAAAAAAAAAAAAAAAAAAAAAAAAAAAACAGAAAAAACTGTCGCTTTTTGGTTGTTCAGGTAATATGTCAAATTTCTTTTGTTTATTGTTTTATAACTACTTTTAAGTTTTAATTGTTTTGTAAATTTTGCACTTAATGACTGACTTGTTTTAAACTATATACGTATTTATTTATTTCTTTATTACCACAAATATTGAAATATTTATTTTCTTCTTCTTAAGAAAGAGATTTTTAATTTACATATGATGGTTGGGTGTTTCTTGCATTTACCTAAGATTGTTAGGTATGTTACATTAATTATTTATTTATTTTTTTATTTATTTTATTTTATTTTATTTTGTGGTTACTCTTGTGTGTTGCTGTTATTATTGTAAATTGCGGTTATACTTATTATTTGTATACGGTATAAAATATCTGGTTCACTTTGCTGCATATAAGTGAGTTATGTGCGTTTTGGCCGCCCGTTAACGACTAAATCCTCATGCTCAGTGAGTTACGAGTTTTAAGCAAAATTACAGAACTAACCAAGCCATACAGTTACAGTTAGCCAGTCAGTTAGTCAGTGATCAGATTTTTTTGTTTGCCAGCTTGCCTGTCTGCTGCATGCTTACTGACTTTGCTATCACTGCCAGCGACAGCAGACGACATTAGTAGTTAACTCAATCAGACCAGACCTGGTGTTATAAAAAAAAAAAAAAAAAGAAAAGAAAAAAAAAAAAACAAAAACAAAAACAAAAAACTCACAATCAAACGCTTAGCATATTCTGTGTACCTTTTTTTTTTTTCTTTTAATATTTTTTACTCTCTCTCGTTTAACTTTAATTAAAAGAAAAAAAATAAATAAATAAATAAGCAAAGAATATATGAAATTGTCTCACTTTCGATGATAAATAAAATAATATAAACAAAAAAAAAAAAAAAAAATAAATAAATAAATAAATAATATTAGTACTAACGTCACGAAAAGAGTAAAAAAATAAAAAATAAATCTCAGTTCTAATCCAGCATTTTTTCAATTAGTGCTACGACAATGAAGTAGAAATGTGATCGATGTCCTCTAACTATTTAGATACCGATCATGATAAGATATATTTCAGATTTAATGAACTATACGCTGAAAAGGGGGTACTATTAAATTGTTCATAGATTTATAGATAAACAGAACGAACTGATGAGTTAATTAAGGAAAGACATAAATTGCTTCATACTTGAATGCTGAAGATTAAATTGTTATCTGCAAATCAATTTCAAGTTGTTGTCAATTTTATTGCTTTCGAAGGACAAAATATGTTCACAAAGTGCCTATGAGATCGGCAAACAAAATGCTTTCCATTTCTTCTTAAGTCAGTGCAATCCATTAACAAGTATAGCAAATGCTATGCTATAGTTTCGAGAAGATAGGACCTAACGATAGTTGCATGTGAAAGTTGTAACAAAATCGGCTCATTAATGCTAGTGGCCGCATACTTCCAATGCTCGGATGCAAAAGAGAATAAAAAAAAGATAAAAATATGCTCAAGCTTAATTATCGCCTTAGACAACAAGTAAAATAGAAAAACTTTAAGAGACAAGTGTTGCGTTTATCCATGAAAAGAATTCGTTTTGTTTCCAACTAATTTTTTCTGTTTTTGTTTTTTCGATCCAACAAATCATTCTAAGCGATTTTTCCGTCTATGTATGTGGATTTCATTTTTTATACTAAAGCCCGCTTGCAATCTTTTAATTATTATATGAAACACGTTACGTTCTTCGTTTTGTGTCGAAATGCGATGATCCGTTCAAGTGCATCCGTTGTTCATTTGCATATAATGCATAGGTTTGTTAAAAACTTTGTTGTTCCTCCTATCCGGGAAAAGTATGGAATTATCAAAAGTAATTTCATTTGATTTTTGAAAAAAATTTACTTTAAAGCGAAATTCATATGTTGTTTGCTTTAGCAATAAATTCATTATTAAATCCATTATATGCAACAATAAATTGTATTTCAATTATAAGAATTCTGAAAACTGGGTAAAGAGAGATAGAAAATAAAATCGCTCGTTGAAATTAATTTATATCAGAGTTATTCATCGATTGATAAAATCTATAATCAATCTAAGAAATATTAATTATTTATATGTTATATATGAACTGACTGTAATGCAAAGAAATGGATGGGTGGATACATAAACGAGAACCTTTATCTGTCATTCAACCTTAAAAAAGGTACGTTTAGTGAACACATTTGGATAAAGGGTGAATGAGTATTAACACGTTCTTCTACTCAAACATTTTCATATCAAACATATATTCATAAATGTTATTCAATATACTTTTGCTCGTCAGTGTATGTAGCAAGCAGTACAGAGTATACATATATAGTTCATTGAAAATTATTCATTTGTGTTTTCATTTTTCTCATTGCTGAGCAAATGTTGCTTGCATGTTATTTGCCTGTGAATGATGTCCGTAACGATGATGTCTGACTGTGATTCTCAATGTGCGAAAATCCACACTTGTTACGATACTTATTTGTCAGTTTGTTCTCCTTCCTATTATTATTAACTTATTATAATAACCTATGTCATTTTTTTATATATTTGATATATATATATATATATATATATATATGTATATATATATATATACAGTAAAAGCTCCTTATTCGCGCTACCTTTATTCGTGATTTCATTATTCGCGGATTAAAAAAATGCGACCCAATTCCCGATTTCCGGATTTCTTGAGACTGATTTCGGAATTGCTTTGTTTCTGAAGTTGAAACTTATTTAAAAAAAAAAAAAACAGAATTTAGACTTTAAAGCACTTTTATGCGTTCAAACATAAAAGTGAGATTTTTACCTCCCCACACGATGGCTTTATTTCAACCTATTGACCAAGGAATAGTCCAGGCCTTTAAGCTCTATTACGTTAGACGAATCTTCAAAATCATAATGGATCATAATGGATCCTGATATGATTGTTATGGAATGCTGGAAGAAATCTGACATAGCAAAATGCATCGTAAACATAAAAGAATCATTGGAAGAACTGAAGCCGCTCACATTGAACTCATGCTGGAAAAAAACTATAGCCTGCTCTGACTGCGGGAAAATGACGAAGAATCTGTGAAAGATCAAACTTTGACTGCAAACATAGCCGAAATCGCGAATGGAATAGGTCGAGATGTGTTCGAACAGATAGAATCAAGTGACATTCAGGAATTGCTTGAATCGCAAGATGAAGATTTGACTGAAACCGACTTGGAGAATATGTTAAATTCACCGCCCATTGAAGAAGAGGCTTCAACAAGCACTGCAAACGTGACATTTAATTTGAAAAGTCTTGGCGATTTCTTTATGAACATTGATCCGTCTATTAAACGAAGTCTTATTTTTAAGAGGCAAATTGCTAACGCGACTGCTGCATATCAGTCTGAATTGAAGGAGTTTTTAAAAGCTGCCAAGCAAGGGAAACTTACAAACTTACTCTTCACACCATTGCCTTAAGCCTTAAGATAATTAATCAAAATGTTCAAAAACTTCAATTAAATTGATTTTTTTTTTTTTTTTGATTTTGTCACCTAGGAACGTATCCCCTATAATCCCATATAAATTATCATTCCTTATTCACGGTTTCTGTATTCACGGCATTTTTATGGAAAGTATACCCCGCGAATAAGGAGCTTTTACTGTTTATATAAATATATATATACTTCTTTTTTAATGAGCTGATAAAAGTAACAAAATTAGAAATTCGTTCAAGTGGTGACAAAAAGTAGTCAAAAACAATTTGTAATGAATTTATTTAGAATATTAAGTTAATGCTGAAAATTTATGCACGCCTGCCTATAATGGTTGATTACCACACACCACCTACATTTAATAACATATGTTATAGAAAAAATACTCTGAAGATTTATATATGTATATATTCAGACAGGAAAATCGTTTAAAATTGCAATTAACACAGTCGAAGGCTATTTATTTAAATAATTTCATTGAAATTTTTAAAAAGTTTTCTGGATTACTTTCGTAATTAAGAATATGTTTCTCAAGTTTGATCTCTTATGGTGTACACTAAACAATCCTATAAAAACCATTCTCATAATCAAAAAACCATGTTTTATATAAATTATATCGTGACTCTTATGACCAATACAACGCTATATATATATATATATATATATTGCTTTTGGCATTTTTTTGGTAATATCGTAAGATATTCTGATTTGATTTGGCTTGTCTGTGTATTGGTACATCTGTCCATGCTTTCATTCTATGAATCTTTGTACAGAGATGAATATCTTCGCCAGTTCATCCATATGTCGGTCCTTCTATGGTACAGTTGTCTTTGGGTGGAAATTTTATGACTGGAAAGTTTACTATAACATTCGAATCGAGCTATTAGTTGGTAATTTTGATAGGCGGCTTCTACAGGGAGAAATTATTAGCAAACGGGAAATACCAGTGTACATAACGATTAAATTCGTAGAACACTTTTCCATTTAATATTTATTGAGCGTACGATGACACTAATCATGGAGCCCTCAAAATTTTTCTTCTTCCAAATTCATTATTTTTATTGTTTATTTAAAGAAATTGGCGGCCCATCAAACACATTCAGAGGCAGGTTATGGTGATGCTACTCCATCATATACCAATTATCGATTTTTGGTTCCGACAGTTTAAACGTGACGACACGAACTGACTGAAAATAGCATTCTTTGGCCGCTTGTTGCAAGAGTTGACCAGGATACGCTGCTGCAGTTCGAATAGGTCACCAGACATAGTGTCTCATGATCACCACTTGTCCAGATCGGTGCGGCATGGCTTGGCTGACACGCGGGTCCGCAAAGTTGAAGAAGGGCGAAAATGGGTCGCTGGATGATGGATCGCTGCCAAACCAATATAAGTTCTTTCGACATGATATCGCCATGTGGTCAAAACTATTGTAAAATGTTGTAGAAAATGATGGAAACTATTATCGTTAATATATATATTTATATATATATATATATATATATAATAATATATTAATTAATTTATATATATATATATACATATATATATATATATATTATGTGAATTTTCCACAATAAATGCGTTTTTCAAGTGAAAACACTATCAAAACTAATGCAACCTCCTAATAAAATAAAGGAAAACTTATATTCGACTTAAGGAAATTCTTTTACATTAATATTCTCCACTAAGTTGTGTAGGAAATTTGATTGCATAATACAGTGAAAGTATGTTTATTGTATAGATTTCGTACTTCTTGTTACATGCACACATGATAGACTGCGTTCGTTTGTTGAAACAAAGTTTTGAGATCTTAGTTGCGGCTTTTCAACAGGTGGCAGAAGTTCCGGTAGATACGATCGACTTTGCTGTGGATGCTGCTCACAAATATATTTATTATTGCAATATATTTGTAGTATGTGAATAGTTGTGCAAAGTAGGTATGCACACAATGTAGTTGAAAATAAAATTTCGGCTTATAAAGGAGATGCTAGTAATTAGTTCAAAATGTTGTTAGATTTAAGTAAGAATTGCTTTCTTTTTTTTTTTTTTTTTTTTTTTAAAAATTAATTTTTCTAAAAATATTGCTCT